ACTTCGGCTCACTTCTCTGGCTATTTGTTCTGGAGTTTCGGGGGGGGGGTCTCATTTGTGACCAATGGAGCACCAAAAATTAATCCTTCTAGGTGGCATTTTGAAAGTGCTAGAAAACTCCATTGGTGAGTTGTGCTGCCAAATGAATTTGACCATGGACTCTGCTATAGTGGAGCTTTTACTTCATAAATGTAACTTTGTTCTCAAGCGATTAGACAGGGAGGGGCCAGGGGCTAAAGTTAGGTCAAATTTGAGGTCAAAATCACTACCCAAAATTGCCATTTTTAAAAAAACCATAACATTCACCTGCCCTCTTGCATAACTATCGTACCAAATCTAGTTTGTACTTTAGTCACCCATTTATCAAAATCAGTTGAGAAAAATTTGGCTTATTATTAGGTTTGCTAAGCTTTTGGCACAAACTCTCCATACCCCTCCCTGAAGGCCAAGCAAAATGGACCTTTTGAGCATAATTCATGCTATAAACAGACCAAAGTCTTGACATAAAGCCTTTATTTTGTATTTAGTGAATGAAAATGAAACATTAAAGCCAAATCAATGTCATTATCTAGAAATACCTCGTCTCATAGTTTACAATTACTCCAACTGAAGAGGGCCTCTAATTGGCTCTACAAACACCCAGCGGTTTAGCAAAATAAAGGTGATTTTTCTTCTTTTTAAAAACTTAATACTCGTCATAGAACACAAATGATGCTGTTCTGATCTAGATGTGACAATTTTTTTTTAAATTAAAGATGCTTGAATTTCCTCTGATTTATATTTTTCAGGTCATATCTCCATACATACTATACTCACAAGCATGCAAAGTCTCTATATTTCGTCAGGCCCATTTTTTTGATGCAATATGATCGAAGTGAACTTAACTGAAAATTACCGTTAACAGAAGTTCTATGGTTAACTTTTGATAACCTCGCTAGCTCTTTTAAATACGCATGATGGCATCAGTACAATGCTCACTAAGTGATGGGTATTTGCGAGAGCTATTCACAGTCTATTCAAAGGTCAGGCGTAGATCATCTTTTAACGATCGTTTTATTCTGAGCTTAATGGTTAAGGCCGGGTTAAGGTCACTTTATTTTCAATTAAAAAAAKGGCCTGACAGAACATAACTGCCTCCCGGTTAGCTCATTTGGTAGAGCGCCGGACTGTTGTGCGGGAGTTCGTGAGTTCAAATCCGGCCGGACCAACACTCAGGGTCTTTAAATAACTGAGAAGAAAGTGCTGCCTTTGTAATAATATCTGCAAATGGTTAGACTTTCTAGTCTTCTCGGATAGGGACGATAAATGGAGGTCCCGTCTCACAAGCCCTTGTATGTGATAAAAAAATTTGTGGGACNGAAGGTCTGTCGTAAACGATCTCGCGACCAACAATCACACTGGTTTGATGTACACAATTTTATTTTCCTTCTCATCATTAGAACCTCCGATCTCACAATCAATGAACCCAAATCACCTAACATCACCTATCATAATTCTGTATTTCCGTCACGAAATCACCTAACATCACCTATCATAATTCTGTATTTCCGTCACGAACCTATCAACAAATTCGATGTAACGCTTCGGTCACGCAAGGTCTATACGGTCCCACGCACCTGAGCGTGAGCAGGGTAATTTCGGTGCCACACCCAGTGGGTTCTAGCTAGTGCCACACCCAGTGGGTTCTAGCTAGTGCACCACCCAGTGGCTTCTTGGTGAAAATCATAGCTGCCACCTTTGATTTTTACAGAGGCGGAAGGCTGGGGAGAGAGAGAAATTTGTACCAAGGGGGAAGGGGGATGGGAGGGCAAACATCGAAAGAAAGGAGAGGAGAGGGTGTGGGCCTTGCACCTTTGATTATGTCAGAATAAAATTTACCTTATCCCTCTCTTAGGCTCCGTTTTATTCTTATGACTTCCCCTCCCCTCCCCACATTGGTAATCAATTTTTTCTAGTCCTCCCTTCGTACTATCTAGAGTAACTCGCATTTCGCGTTCGCCTTGTGGTTGCCTCTGTTCTACTGAAAATGCCTAAAAATGACATCTGTTCCGCAGGCTTCCTCATCTTTTCGAAAAAAAAAAAAAAAAAAAAAGAACAGGCATAGTGTTTTTCGGAGTGTTACCTTGCACTTCTCAATAACGCTTCTCTTCTCATTCGTTGCTTGAATTTCTCTCGTTCCTCTGGACTTAACCTAAAATAAACAAAAATGACTTTATCCAGCTTATAAGAATAAAAAAGAAGGAACAAAATCATACACAGAGGAGACAGCGGTTTTTAACGTTCATCACAGGGTTTCTCAGTTTATTCCACACTGTGTCTCTCGCTTTTGAAAAGTGTTCGCTGCGTTCAGCTCAATATTTACCATTCTTCTCAGAGTGTATCTCACACAGGACGCTGTCAACATCGCTGGAAAACTGTCGGAGCACAAAGAACGCTTGTCACTTAACCCTTTAAATCCCTGACGTGATTAAAACGAAACTTCTCCCTATATTATCCATATATTACCCAGCATAAAGGTAACGAGAATACTCAAATTTATCGGGTAAAGTTGTTATCTTGATCTAACACCACATTCTTGCTACTAATTTACTGGGAAATATGTAGTAGATAGATGCGAGAATTAACAATCAGATCTTGGGAGCTAGATGGTTTACAACCTACAAAGGTACAAACCTTTGAATATCAGTGACTGCTGTCGAATCAGACGATTGAAACGATTCCTGCCCGGGAAGGATACTATCGCCTCCGTGAAACTGTTGAAAATTATCTTCTTCTAGAAATTCTAAAGAAACAAGTCATAATAAACTGTTGTTTATCAACTCTTAATTCTCATAGGTGATTCACAAAGTAACATTTACCTTCTCCCTACAGAGGTCTACAGAGTCAACACATTATTTAGTCCGCAGATGATGAGCAGAGACGAAGTCATCAGCTGTACACATGGACTTGCACTTTGATAATTTGACATACTTTCAAAACACTGAACCTATTCACTAGTGTTGCCCCCAGGAAGGGGGGGGGGGGAAGCCTAAGAGGAGGGAAGAGGGGTGTTTAAATGTTTACCAGTAGCAACTGCATAAGTGCATCAAGAAATAATCAGCAAAATCATATTGAAGATTCATTATTAAGCACATTAAGGTAAAAAGGTTAAGAAATGATGATGATGATGATGATGATGATGATGATGAAACTTTATTTATGTGTCTGTTAGGGATCTAGCTCCTGACTAGCGAGGTGCTAATTGGTGACACAGTATAGTTATACAATAAACATTAGCTTAAAATGTACTTATTAATACACTAATTATACAGTAAGTTACTGTAATAAAACATTATACAATAAAAATTATCTTAAAATGTACTTATTAATACACTAATTATACAGTAACATAAGCTATGATAAAACATATTCGAGAGAGCAGCAATTAGGGAAATTGCATAAAAGAAGCCTGAAAAAGATTCAGGTTTTGACAAGATTCAAACTTGTGCTGCCTTGGTACTAATTGGGTACTACTGACAACTGTGCTGCAAAGCCATAATGTTGGGAGCAAGCCTTCTTCAAAATAATTGCTTGGTATTTTTTGATGATGCTCTCTCTTTATGCAACAATGACCATTGGTGGGTAGTGTTCCAGTTCTCATCTCATCTCATTTCATACGGTTTATTTAAAATCCCTATTCACCCTCAGAGGTTTATATATATTTCGATTCTTTGCATTATTAGGATTAATTTAAAAAAGAAATTTTTGCGATTGCTTAAATATTTCCCGAGATATGCCGCCTCAAAGTTACTCTTTTGGCCACGCCCTATTGACTTGGCTGGGAGAGAATTACTGGGCCGAGTGATGTCACAGCAAGAACAAATGTTAACTTCTTGTATAAGAACATGTGTCTATTGCTGTAAAATGATGTGAAAATGCCGACTCGTTGGGTGGTCGCTGGTTGCTCAAATACACCAGATTCATCTAAAGGCATATTCAAGTGAATGTAGGCACATCGATCGAAAGATGTTCTTGCTGTGACATTGCTAGGGACTTTTCGTTACCAGTATTAACTTAGCCTGGCCAAATCAAAAGGGCGTGGCCAAAGGACGAACTTTGAGGCGGCATATCTCGGGAAATATTTAATCAATCCAAAAAAATTTTTTTGAGATTAATCCTGATAATGCAAAGAATCGAAATATATAATTATAAACCTCTGAGGGTGAATAGGGACTTTAAACATGATAGGGTTGACTAATGAGACTAAACTGTAATTGTGTAGTTAAATCTCCATGAATTCGGTGCACTTCAGAGAATTCACTAATTATAAGATTGACAGATGTAGTAATTACCCTGATTATCCCAGCTTTCAGATGGTAACTGTAAGTCTTCTGTCTTGTGGTAACTTGGAACTGAAGTGTTTCCTTTGAAGTAGAAACCCTCTTTGTCCTTTTCACTTCCTACAAGTTACAGACAAATCAGCATAATGATATATATTTGCAACTCTTTTACTTTTCCAACACTCTGTTCATAAAAAGAAACATAGCTTAGATCTGTAAGGTAGAGTCTGTACTCAGCCTGGTAGCCTAGTCTGTGTAGCCTGCTTCCAGGCAGTAGATTGTGTTTTTGAGTGCCAGATTCAGTGCAACAAATATTTGGTCGCCATATTGGATGGGTGGGAAATTTGTCACCAGTGACACAATTTAGCCAGGGGGAGGAGGAAAGGAGAGCATAACCCAAAAACCCTTCTTCTCCCATTCTCCCTCCTCCTTGCTCTGTCACTCGTCCCAAATTTTTCACTCATCCAAAATGGCAACCACATGATCGCTGTGCTGAATCTGGCACTGACGTGAATACACACACTAATGCCTGCAGGCAGGCTAATTCAGCTGCTGCTTATTCCAGTTTCTGAAGCAATAAACAGCAGCAAGTGTTACTACTTCCCCAGAATGGGAGGCCAGTCTATTGCTGTTTACCCTGTATGCATAATTTGTCAAATTTCCATGAGAACAATACCCATTTAAGAATAGGAAAATAGGAAATTTAGCAGTGGAAATTCCACTCGGTGGCTCTTCTTGTCCACTGTTTCCAGATCATCAAATTGGAATTTGGGATGTTGGTTTTTGGGGAGGGAGGAAAACCAGAGGACCCAGAAAAAAACCCTCAAAGTAAGGACGAGAACCAACAACAAATTAAACCCACATGTGACACAAGGTTCGGGAATCGAGCCCAGAACACACGTGTGTGAGGAGAGCACTTTCACCCCTGTGCCATCCCTTCCCCCCCCCCCTTCTATTCTCCTGGATGAAGAGCCACTGTAAAAGTAGCATGTCTTCGATGCCCAAGAACAAAACTTAGTGACCTGGCCAAGTCTGGTAGCCAGACCTCTTCACCCAGAGTACAGACTGAACAGACTGATAACAAATCCTGTCTTTCTGGAACAAAGCTAAGAATTGGGAGCTATTTTAAAGGCTTTGCAAGGTACAACACTACAGGCATTGAAAGAAAATAATGTTCTGGCCCACATCAAATGCTGAAAGAATTTTAAGAATTGAATAGAGAGCATTTCCTATGAAAATGAAAATAGTTAAAACAAAATTCATCCCTTACCTTTATAATTATATTGCTCAATGGCAGACTAAAAGTTGAAAAAAATAATATTAGGTTGTTTGACACATCTATTTGGCAATTTATAAGGGAGGGGGGGTTCTTTGGGTGGTGTTTGGGAGTTGAGTTTTGGTGCTGCTTGTATATCTTTATTTACATCATGTTTTAGAAGTATTGCAAATTCAAAATGATAGTTAACTGGTTCATAGAGATGAAAACTTTCATTCATGTTACCTTGAAATGAAAGAGTGTCCATACCCTAAAAAAAAAGTTTTGATATTTATTTCTCTCAAATGAAAAAGGATGAATGCTTTATCCAATCAAAAGATTGGCATTTTGACCCCAAAATATAATCACCTAAAAAGCTGTTAAATAGTGTTGTAAAAACCATGATAAGGATTTCTTCATTCTTTCCTGGAAGGCTACAATTCCTTCCCTTCCAATTTTTGTGCTTTTACTGTTCACAAGCTTTGCTTCCCTTTACCACTTATACAGCACAAGCTGATTAGAGATATTAAGACCCACTGTTTTGATGCCTTTCAGCAGTTTCCTAGATTCCAATCTTGTGGTATTAATGCAGTATTATCATATTAAAATAATTACTCATGAGTCAGAATTTTTCTATGAGTGTCTCTACGTCGTTTTGCACAGGTATCGTAACCATCTGGTATGTTCTTACTGTCATTTTGTCATTCAATTTTTATTTTCTTTGTTTTTTATCAATGTCAATTACTGTTATTTAGTTATTTCTTCATGTATTTCAGAAAACAAAGGTTAAGTACTTAAAATTTGAAAATCTATCCGTCAATTTGGTATTATTCATAGTCAAAACTGACTAGGACTACAGTTTGGAACGGCGGCTTGTAATTCTGCATCTTATTTCTCCTTACAAAATTATCACTGTATCAACCATTTGGGTCATGAGAACATAGTAAACGATCATCAATTAAAGAAGCTCAAGATTGATTGTTTAAAAAATTCTCCCGGTCCGTACCTTAAGAAATGTATGAAGAACCGTGTGGAGAATGTGCAAACTGATCATGTTGTTATAGCGTGCAAAGGGTTATTCGTCAGCTGGTTGAGAGCTCAAGCAAA